ACGAGCAGCAAGGAGAGCACGGGCGCGCACTTGGCGGCGGCCGCGCCCGGGGACGGCGCGCCGTCGCCCGCGCCCTGCGCCACGAAGTACACGCACACGCACTTGAAGAACGGCACCAGCCGCCCGCCCACCCCCAGCCGCTGCACCTGCACATACCACCTGCCTTACACTATCGTCACAAGAGGAGACTTTGTTACATTGCGTACATTGTTCTTATTAAGATAAAAGGAGTTACCTACGTATATTTAATTGTATAATTATAAGTAGGTAATCGAGAGTTAGCTCTCGATTTAAAGTTTGGAGCTTGTGAGTAAGGTTACCAGAGGCCCGATTTCTCCTCTCTAATCCTCACATTCCCCAACCCCTAAAAGGCCGGCACCGCACCAGTGTAGCAGCCTTCCAGGTGTTCATGGGCGGCGCAGATTGCTTATCACCAAGTGATCTATTTTAACTATTTGGTGACAGGCTCGGTTGCCGGTCTATAATACTTAGAATACAAATATTGATGTAGCTAACCGCGATTGGCCGATAGTGCGTAAAAAGCGAAGTGTTCCAACTGCGATGAACGATGGGTTTATACACGAAACGAACTTGGATCTAGCTAGAGCTACTTACATCAAGATCATTATTTCTTGATCGTTTAGTATATACGAAAGATTGTTTTTGCGTTAATACCAAAATAACAACGAGCACAAACGAGACCCAAGAAGTTCTTGCACGAATTTCTAGATCAGCCGAACAAGTGCTCATTCAAATCGCTAGATCGCCCCAGGGAGCGAGCACGCCCGGACACTAAGAATCTAGATAGATACGAAACTTATCTCTGTAACAACGAACACGCAGAGTTAGATTAATAAGATTTGACGGAGAGCGAATAGAATGAGCATTCGGTTTCTAGCAGCTAGCTAGCGGGTAGCTGGGTTAAGATTCAACTTTATATTAATAGGACAAACACACACGCATTTTTCGTTTCAAAATTTCTGAATATATACTGGTGTGTCGTTTCGTGATGAAATAGCCGAATTCTCCAAATTAAATCTAGCATAGTTATGTAGCCATTAGCGAAGATACTGCCAATTTTTAAGTAGGGAAAATCATCGAATGCCTTCTCCCGCCTGGGCGCCTCACTTGGGAGGGACTGTCAGACTCTTACTGACTAAAAACCACCCCGTTCCTACTCCTGCCCTTCTAGCCCGAGCCCCAGCAATCCATTAAGTCCTCCGCGGCAAGATACTGTCTGGCGCGTCGAAATATTATGCTGTACGATTACCTGCGACCTACGATCAAAACTCACAGAGGTAGTTACCTAACACACAAATGTCAAGTTTGTAGGTCACCCCGACTGCGACTGCGACGTAGGTAACACTAGAATGCCATAGTTAGAGAAAGCTTTCCGGCTAAGCTATTAAGATGGTTAAGATTGATATTAGCATATAAGAATATTAGCATAGATGACGTTACGAACATTAGCATAGATGACGTACCGGATTGTTTCGCTGCAAGCCATGCTTTCTAGAACATAATCTCGGGTTGGGTTCAATTGATATGAGAATGCTGCCAGTGCTTAGGTACACATATTGACGTCCTAGATAAGCGTACAAACAGCACATTGTAGCCTCTGTCGCGGCAGCTACTTGAGTCCTTACATTCTCTTTGTTTGAGCCATTCCTCATGGTAAGCAGCAAGGCTATGCTGTTAGATGTCCATTCAAACTCTGAAAGTAAGATCGTGGTCCGCCCGCGCCGTGTCATTGATGGTGAGAATAATCTCGACCAATGACGGGCGCGAATGCTTTCGAGCTCAATTCGAGAGTTTACACAGAACGGTTACAGAATAGCCTAGTAGCTGCTCATTTCTCCGGGAAAAGTAATCAATACGTAACTAATGTAACCATATGTCTAGGTGCTATAACTATTCTGTATGGACCTTCCTATCACTATCACTACATAGTATAAAACATAGTCGCTATCCGCCGTCTGTCTGTTCCTATGTATACTTAGATCTTTAAAACTACGCAACGGTTTTTTTTAATAGATAGAGTGATTCTTAAGGAAGGTTTATATGTATAATACATGCATATTGCACCCGTGCGAAGACGGGGCGGGTCGCTATAATACATATAACAGGCATCGATAGGTTAGATAGATAGATAGGTCGGAAGGTAGGTGGATAGGCTATATGTAACTAACTACCTATATACCTACTACAGATATGAGTAGGTACGTCCTACCTAAGTGTTATCACTATCAGTCACACACTGTAGTCTGTATTGTATTGTCCCTGCTACAGGTACCCAAGTAGGTAGTGTATAGGTATACCTACTCACATACTTTATCGCACTAAGTTTCAATCAATTTAAGAGCCAGGGCCAGTGAGTATCCTCAAGAGCGATCAGTCTCGAACTAACGCCACATCGATAATTATTTATTTAAATGACTATTTCATGCATACTAATTGTTTAAGTACCAAAGTATAGTAAGTTTGTCGGATGTACCTCTAGTTTCGACATCCGATTATAAAATAAACACTCAATAGAAGCTAAATAGGTTTACGTGGTAGTAGAAACAACTAGAACATCATTAATCCAGTAACAAATTCATGTTTAACTACTACAACTACTACAATGAACAATGAAACAACGTACCAAGTCGACGGGAAATATCATAATATCTTCGGAACGTTCGATTTCCTTTTTTATTTATAACTCTTCAAACTGCGCACCACTGAGCTATTATTTATAAGCTAACAAATTACGCTAATATTTTAATAGTAACCAAAACAAACAAGTTAACTCCGAACTGTGCAAATCCGCACTGGCACGAAGGGGACGTGCGAATATAAAGTGAAAATGTTTGTTTTGATGTCCACTTGTTTTGTTATAGCAAGTAGGTATTTGTAGTCGAACAAGTGCGCAACTGTAACTCTGACAATATAAAAACACTTGCTAGTACATAGTAACCGTACCTGTGTCGGCTCTTTTACATATGACTGTATAATACTCGTTTAGAAACACTAGATTACATTTACGATTCAGTGTCAATCAAAAATAAATGAATAACGAATAAGAATTATATATGTTAAAGAAAATAATGAATTCTATAAATAATTATCATTTTTTATTCTGATTACCAAGTAGATACCTAAAGCTGTATAACATAAGTAAGTATGAATAACAAGAACATAATTAAATGTAATTTGGTGAAATGGAGAATTTTGATTTTGTATAGAAAAAATAATAATTAATTTGTCAATAACTCCCGTGCCTTTGAAAGGAATTGTCCCATCGGCTGTGGAAGGTATCAATCATGCCCATGCATCATCACGGCATGACATGACATGCAATAAAAAGAGCGTATTGTAAATTAAATGTCATTTGGGAAACACTTCCCAACCCAAATAAAATTGAACTGCTATTTTTATTACTTCCACTGTCACACCTTGATTGTCTTTTTTATATTTTATTTATGCTGCATCGTGCCTGGTGCTAAATAAATGTTTTTTCTTTCTTCTTTCTTTCTTTCTAGGTATTGACTTTTGATATTTGAACTTTGAAGTTATTAGTCTGAATGATGACTACAATACATTATGATAACAAAATCGTGTAAAATACACATGTATGTATTTATTGTTTCGGACTTTCATTATCACTACCTACTCTAGAAACTTCAAATACCTACCAAAAGTCACAGAGTCACAGAGTCACAGTACCCTTCTCAAATGAAATAAAACACAATCTGGGTATTAGATGTGACAATGTTACGGCGTGTGATTAAGTCACAAAAAAGTAAATTATGGAGGTAAGAATATAAATACACACTGTATGCGAAATAAGTTTGAAAATAGTAAGAAAACTTTGAAACATGGATGAAAAGTTTGAAAAATAAAGTGATCGATTTTGTATTTTTCTTAGAACTTATAAATTACAATAGCAACGAAAATCTTATGTTGTCACACGATGGTTCTACGATACTATCTTGACCTATAATTAAACTCTTCATCAGTGACACTGTGATTTGTGTGGTTGCTGGTTGGTCTGCGATTATGACTCTTATGATTTAGTCTCTGTCTGTGACCAGTGACAAAAGTACCCGCCAAGGAACTTTTAATCCTCAGTGCCCTCAGTCAATAATTTAATTTGCCTAATAGTTGTTGGCACGGGAATGGGAGCTAGGTCTTTAGTGAAATGTAAAAATGTTGCCAGATAGAAAATAAACAAACAGCATGTTGTATCCAAAGACTCAACGTCTTTGGATACAACATGCTGTTTGTTAGAAAGGTGGTTATAGTCTCTTGGCCACGATAATAGACTTCCACACAGAATACACACATTGACACGAAGGACATCTGTTGCGGGACATTGCGTATCATTACACTTTATACATTTGGTGTTAAATACACCACTGACATTTTGGTGTTTCACTCATTTCTAAGTGATATCGACCTTTTTTTCAATGTCTTTAGTTGTATCATTCTCCACCAAACGAGGTACTCATAAATGTTAAGGCATGCTGAGGCTGCTTGGCCACTAATCGGCTGCAATCATTTGGCGGTCATTCTCTGGTTTCAAACAAGGTGGTTGAAATTTTTTAATTACCTCATTTTTTTGTTTGATTACACAGGCAAACCACATTTTTATGTTACCTGGGTCACCAAATGTCTTTCAAATGCTTCAAATGTACAGCTGACTATAATTATAGTCAGTCACCCACACACCGTTCTATACCTACCTACCACTCCACGACAATCAGTATGATCTATCAGTATAATCTGTATGATGTATCTTCACCATCGTCTCATCTCAAGTAATTGCTGTCACAACGTATTAGTGTCAGGCGTCAGCCTGTCAGTGTCACATGTCACAGTCGTAGTCGTAGGTATTCATCATCGCTCGAGTTACCTGTTACCGTTACACATCTTAGAGCTTTATAGTTGCAATATTATTCAACAAAATACCGTAGTTTTTTAATTTAATTGTTTATTTAATTACACTAATATATAAAATGCCTAAGAAGAAAACAGGTCAACGAAAGAAAGCCGAAAAACAAAAACTAAGACAGAAAGAGATTCGGAATGCACGAGAGAACGTGGACTTGGCTGCCCACCCCTGCAACATACCCATGGAATGTGATAAATGCCAGAAGTACTTGCTTATTTGTTACAATTGTATACAATTTATATTTACACCAGCTATTTCCCGCTCTGCTCGGCTTCTATTGATCGTGATATTTTATAGCCTTCCCAATTACTGGACTAGGGATCCTACACAAAAATAATATTTTCAGTCGGACCAGTCGTTCCTGAAATTAGCACGTTCAAACAAACTCTTCACCTTCATGTAATAATATACGATAAGCTGTGGGTCATGTTGTGAAACATCAATCAATCTGTTGTCAGGAAGGGGTTAAAATTCCAATGACTAAATTTGATCCAAACAGAAAACAATAAAAAGACGTGACCAGCTAAATAATACCGTAATCAAACTAACTATAACTTGTGATAATTAATTTGGTTTAAGTAATAATAATCTTTAAATATATATTATATGTATATTTATATATATTAAATTATATTTCTATGTTGCCTAAAAATCTTTGAGTTATTGTATGAAAAAAAAATTAATCCTTCCCTCCCAGCCTTTTTGCAGCCAGTCCCTGATTGGAGACAATCTGCCACACTATAACTTTTGGTGAAAGTATTATTTCTGCATATACACTAATATTGGTAACATGTTGGATTTTGTTACAGAAAGCAGAAGAATCGAGCATTCTGTTACTTCTGCCAGGCAGTGCAGCGTCTGCCTACTTGTGCACACTGTGGCAAAGTGAAGTGCATGCTGAAGTCTGGAGACTGTGTCGTGCGTCACCCAGGGGTCTTCACTACTGGGCTTGGCATGGTGGTGCGTGTACTGATGAACTTAGCAGTGTAGCACAACCTATAAGCATATTTAGTAACTTGCTGAAATGTCACTATTGCTCTGTGGCAGGGTGCAATCTGTGACTTCTGTGAGGCGTGGGTGTGTCATGGCCGCAAGTGCCTGACTGCGCACGCCTGCACCTGCCCATTGATGGATGCTGTCTGCCTTGAGTGTGAACGAGGTATACATTACTAAGCAGTGCAAATCTTCTATTTTTTAATATCTTATATTTAGCAGTTTGTCTTTTGTCTGTTCTTATATTGTGTTTTATAGTTTGTCTAGTCTAGACCCATTCACATGTTAAATATCAGCTCGTAAAGTTCGAGTGGTAGCTTGGTGGCACAGAAAAGTTTATGATTTGTATTCTGTTTTATGTACATACAATGTACATTTATATATAAAATCTTCTATAGATAAATATGAAGATGTACAAAAGATAGTTCCAAAATCCATTGCCGTTATTTAGGAAGAGTTAGTAAAGACCTCAACAGTTGTGGTGGTAGTGTATGTTCCTTGCTAGTATAACAATACAAGGCATGGAGAGTGTTGTGTACAGTCCATGTCCCGCAGGCGTGTGGGAGCACGGCGGGCGCGTGTTCCGCTGCTGCTTCTGCCAGGGCTTCCTGTGCGAGGACGACCAGTTCGAGCACCAGGCCTCCTGCCAGGTCCTCGAAGCCGAGACCTACAAGTGTAAGTGACACACTGATTTTACTCACCGCCATCGCGACGATACAACAACAGCCTATACTACATTCAACAATATGTAAACACTTTATTTTAACCTTCGTATTTCCGATACTTCTTCCACGTGTTCAATCATGGTTTGTCTAAAAGAACTTGTAAAGGGCGAGTCGCACTCGTCGTCCCTCTGTACCTCATTTGGAAATTCGGAACTCCTGCGGGAAAAAAGCAAGATAAAAAGTAAATACTATGGGAATGGGAACATGATAAAATACAAATGAGAAAATTTTTAGTTTTTTCTCTGCTCTAGGAATGAACTTGCAGCATGTATGCATGTAGCAGCAGAGATGCGACACGAAATACAACAAACCACACGAACCTCACTCGACGTAGGTCTCGCTCCTCCACGGAGCATCCTCAGGAGTTTTGACGCAGCGGCCACGTCTCGAAGGCCGAAATCTTGAATTCTAGAATGCAAATTGATTTCTTCAGCGGAATAAAAACTAAATATTTTCCCATTTGTTAGTGAAGTATAGGTTTTCGCAAAGCAAATCCTCATTCTATTCTAAAAAGTAGGTAAATGGCAAAACATTCTAAAACGATATGTGTATGTATGATGTAGGCCAGTCGTGCAACCGGCTGGGCCAGTACTCGTGCCTGCGCTGCAAGACGTGCTTCTGCGAGGAGCACGTCCGCCGGCGCGGCGTGCGCGCGCCCGGCCGCGGCCCGCCGCCCTGCCCGCGCTGCGCGTACGCCACGCACGTCACCAGCGACCTCGCCATGTCCACGCGCTCGCACCGCTACGGCCGCCAGCCCGTCGCCAACTACGACGACGAGGATGACGACCACGACGATCACGCCGGAGCCTACTCCTCAGGTCTCGACTCCCTCGACCGTCCTCACTCCTCCGTCTCCGACATGCTGTGCACTACCTCTTTGTCTAATGAAACTGCTTTCCATAAACTACTCGACGGTTTTTATCGAAACTTGGTACAATTACTTTTCATACTCTTGATCTGGTTATAGTATAATTTTCATCACGCTAAATTTCGTATTATAATCACAACTACCTCAGATACTTTATTCTAGCGATAGTGATGATGAAAATGATGTATCTTCGAACTGGTATAACTTCATCTTGGATCCTATAGCTTTTACACCATAGGAACTATTGCTCCAAATGGCTAGTTGTAACGATACGAACCTTTTTTCGTTGGCCGCCGGCTTTTTCAGAATAGGTCCAAAAATGTATGGATGGATCCGAAATGATCTTCTATTATGTCAAATTCATTGCTGGGCTGAACCGGTGCCGTGACAGTGCCTGCATACTGAGGAAGGAACAACGTACGTTGTTCTTACACAGCTCAGTATTGAGTTTGGTTTTTTTATTTTATTTATTTGGTAACACAAATAGTGACAATGTGTCACTATTTGTTTTGAGACATGATATATTAAAATTGTACATAACTTGCAGCCCGTCCCGGCTTCGCACGGGGTAGACAATTAATTATTTTTGGAAATTTGGATTGTTGTAGTGACATAACTACAATAGTTGGACATAATTATGCTACCGCGGATTTTTTTGTAGACATAAAGATGTTCTTCAATATTGTTGTACATTATTTTGTTCTATCGCTAATAGTTTCGGCAGCGCATTCGACGAAAGACATTTTAAGACTCACTTTGCTACACCTTCGGTTACATTGTTCAAATTTTACCAAGGATTCCTAATTTATTTTCAAAATGAAATGTAGCCTATGTCAAATTGGAAGAATGTAGCATTCTATTGGTGAAAGATTTTTTTTGAGCCTATTCATTACAAACATACAAAAATAGGGACACATCTTTCCTCTTTATAATATTAGTATAGATTAGGTCGAATATAAATTACATCAACAATAAACACCATCATCTTACGAGACCATGTATTAACATAATGTAATTGTCATATGCATCGCCAGAGATGTGCGTGTGAAGAACGAAATGAGAAGAGAATATTGCATGTTGCAGGGTACGCGGCTGAAGGCGGTGACTACTCATCATACGAGGAAGACGACGAGGATGATGATGACGACGAAGACGACTCAGAGTCAGAGTCGCAGTCCGAGGAGGACGCGCCCCCTGCGCCCCCCGCGCCCGCGCCCTAAGCCCCGTAATACATGGAGTCGTTGTCCACATGCCAGTAGTTTTATTGCTCCTACCAGTTCCCGCTCCCTCCCTGCTTCTCTAGTTTTTTTTTTAAGGGGGTAATCATCGAATGTCTTCTCCCGCCTAGGTGAGGCGGGAGGGAGTGTCAGACTCTTACTGACTAAAAACCACCCCGTTCCGCCGTTCCTACTCCTGCACTTCTAGCCGGAGCCCCGGCAACCAGTTAGGTCCTCCGCGGCTCCGTACCGGTATCAGCCCTATTAGAACAGATCCGACGTATTGATGGCAATAGATTCGTCGCCTCTAACGAGCGAATACGCGAATAAACGGACAAAGTAGTACTGGGTTTTTAAAATAATTCTTAGTTAACGTCAACAAAAAACGAATTATACGTATTGTTAGCAAGTTGAAGTTCTCAAATATGTTTTTTTGTATGTAATGATATTATTTATTTACAATAACGATCATAATACTAAACAAACTTATAATACCTACTGAAGTAGATAATTCAGATACAAACGTCCTATTGTGCCCAATCAATAATAAGATTCGTAAAAAAAAATCTAGATATTCTATCGAATCAAATGAGGGTCATATAATATGCACATTTTATGAAAATTACATCAAGGAAGTTTTTCAACGATTTAAAACAAAGGTCTTAATAAAAATAAAGATAATATAGATAATATAATAAAGATAATCGGATCAAGTGCGGGTCATCCAACGCAATTGCAGATTGGATGAGACTACGCTTGATCGGCTACGCCTTGAAGCACTGAGCAACCGTGTCGTCCCCGCACCACCACAATTGGTGGCACAGACACCTGTAGTGTCACAATGTGTGACATTGACCACTCCTATCGTTGGAGTGGAGGACGACAGGGTTGAACAAGTGAGTACTCAGTGCAATGAACGTCTGAGGAGTGCTTTGGAGGATGCGGTTCGTGAGTACAGACTTGCTCCTAGTAATTTAAGACCAAAGTTACCACGTTTGCCCATGTGTAGAAAAAATAGGGCGCTGGTGAGCGCCTTGGATTCGCTACTTAAAAAATATTTTGAGAGTAGCGAAAACCTCTATGATACACACTCAATCTTGTACTGTGGGGCAGTTGCTGCTTGTCGAGTGGCTAACGTCAGATTCCCAAATCTTGACGCAGCAGTCCGACCAAAACCAGCAGTACCTGCCTGGCAGTGCAGGATAGAGCGTCGTATCAGTGAGGCCAGGGTACTCATTGGCAAACTATCCTGCTTCAGGGAGGGCAATACTCGCCCTAGAGTGATGCGCTTTGTAAGACGTGCATTTGTGGGGACTGAAATCAGTCCTCATGAATACTTATCACGTGTTACAGAACGCATCGACTTCCTGAAGCAGAAAGTTTATGCATGGGCAAACCGTATCAGAAGGTACAAAAAAAGAGTGGAGCGCTATACTCAGAATCGCATGTTCCAAAGAGATCAGAGGTGGGTATACAGAGATTGGGAACGATCCAACCAAGATGTGGCTGACGGGAGGCGACCGGATGATGATGCCACTAACACATTTTGGCGCAACATCTGGTCGGTGCCTGTCAGCCACACAGAAGGTGACTGGATGTTTGATGTTAAGCGAAGGTGTGAGACTATACCAGAGATGGAGGAGGTAGTAATCACCTCCTCTGATGTAGCCAGTGCAGCCTGTTCGGTCCCGAATTGGAAATCACCGGGGCCGGACGGACTGCACAATTTTTGGATTAAATGGTTCAAGAGTTCACACGTTCGCTTAGCATTACACTTCCAGGCAGCTTTGGAAACTAGGTCGTTACCACAATTTCTAACAACAGGAGTTACCCACCTGCTCCATAAATCAGGTAGTTCCACTGAGCCCAAAAATTATAGACCAATCACATGTCTACCAACGGTCTATAAACTTCTTACATCCATTTTGAGGACAAAAATAACAAAACATATTGAACAAAATTCCATCATGTCGGTATCTCAAAATGGATGTAGGGAGGGGTCTCGTGGAACTAAGGAGCTACTCCTCATTGATATGGTTGTTAGCCAACAGGTTCGTAGGTCCCGAAAAGATTTGTCTACATGCTGGATAGACTATAAAAAAGCATATGATTCTGTGCCACATACATGGCTCATGAAGGTGCTGGGTTTGTATAAAATACATGCAAGTTTACGCGCCTTCTTGGAGTCATGTATGAGGCAGTGGAGCACCGTGCTTTGCTATCCGGGATGTAGACAAATCCAAGGGAATGAAGAACCTGTAAGGATAGTACGAGGAATATTCCAGGGTGACAGCCTGAGCCCACTATGGTTCTGCTTGGCCTTGAATCCTCTAAGTACTCTACTGGAGGATTCAGGGCTAGGCTATCCTTTGCGGAGAAGGGGTCTAGTTATATCCCACTTACTTTACATGGATGACCTCAAGTTGTTTGCTCCAAACAAGAAACAACTGATGGAACTACTGAATATAACTGAAAAATTTAGTAGTTCCATCAGAATGGAGTTTGGAGTAGACAAGTGTGCGGTCATGCATGTAAAGCGAGGAGGGATTGTGGAATCTGAGGGACTAGAACTCTCAGATTTCACAAAACTGAGATCACTCTCCGCAAACGATACATACAAGTACCTGGGTATGTCAGAAGGATTATAATGGACCGGACATGAAGCAATCGCTACAGGAGCGCTTCTTTGGCCGCCTGAATAAGGTACTAAAAAGTTCCTTATCAGGCGGAAACAAGGTGCGAGCCTTTAACGGTTGGGTCATGCCAGTCCTAATGTATTCTTTTGGTATACTCAAGTGGACACAGACTGAACTTGACACCCTGGATAGACGAGTCCGGACCCTGCTGACTGCAAATCGCATGCATCACCCTCGTTCGTCGGTCATGAGGTTGTACATCCCGCGGAAGTGTGGTGGTCGAGGCCTATTAAATGCTAAGACCCTTCACAACCGTGAGGTGTGCAGCCTCAGGGAATATTTCCTGAAAGTCAACGAGGGTATGCATCGAGAAGTAGCAGCGGTGGACAATGGATTCACTCCGCTATCCTTGGCAAAAGAGAATTGGCGCAAACCTGTGGTACTGAGCGTCAATGATCGCAAGGAGGTATGGCATAGCAAGGAGCTCCACGGACGCTTCTTCCGGGCCCTTCATGGACCCAGTGTAGATTTTCTAGCGTCCGTATCTTGGCTACGATTCAGTAATCTCTTTGGAGAAACTGAAGGATTTGTCTGTGCAATTATGGACGAAGTTATCCTTACGAATAACTACCGGAAATATATAATTAAGGATGGGACGGTTGACATATGTCGGGCATGTCATAGTCCTGGTGAATCCATTAGACATATTATTTCTGGTTGTGGTCGTTTGGCTAACAGTGAATATTTGCATAGGCATAATCAAGTAGCCAAGATTATCCATCAGCAACTTGCTTTGCACTATCGACTTGTTGAGTCTGAGGTACCGTACTACAAGTATGTGCCCGACCCAGTTCTGGAAAATGACCATATCACGTTGTACTGGGACCGGTCTATCATCACTGACAGGACTATTATAGCCAACAAACCTGATATAGTGGTGATAGACCGACAAGTGCGCCGCACGATGATAATCGATATCACTATTCCTCATGATGAGAACCTCGTGAAAGCTGAAAAAGATAAACAAATCAAATATCTTGATTTGGCTCACGAGGTTGTCGACATGTGGAATGTAGATTCGGCTATCATTGTGCCGATAGTCGTGTCGGCCAATGGGTTAATCCCTAATAGCCTCGACAACCACCTTAGGAGGCTAGCGTTAGGCAGTTGGGTCAAGGGCCTGATACAGAAGGCAGTTCTCCTTGAAACGGCGCGCATTGTGAGGAGGTTTCTGTCTCTGGAGCCCTAACCACCGGTAGCTTGGACCGTGCTCCCACTACTGGTCGGCTCCTATTTTTATATTTTTAAATATTATTTTTTTACTGTAGTATTTAAAAATGTAATTTTAGAGAAAGTTTAAATAAATATATGGAAATAAAGATAAAAGAAGAAAAAATTCAAAACCTAAAACCTTGATTATTAAAAGGTAATGGCAACATTTTAATACGTGTGGATTGAAAAACTTGTATCTATGGACAGAAAGAAAATATTTAAAAAAATATGATACGAGTCGAGTTGACAATTTTGACAGTTGAGTAATAATTGTCAGTATTGTCAGTCTCTTAGCGGACACTCGTTTTTTTCGTTTTGCTCAACAATTACTGATAGTGTAGTGTAAGATAAATAGTTGTCTCGTGGTCGGTCAGATCGCGAGTGTATCCATCAGTGTGGTCACGAGTGCAGGATGCTGGTCGCAATGTTGGCGCCGGAACTCGCTGGGTGAAAGTGTGGTGTTGTGACCGTGAGGCTGCAAGTGAGCGAAGCGCGATTGCGAGTGGGTGACGATGGGCGTGGGCCTGCAGCCGCTCGAGTTCACCGAGTGTCTCGCGGATAGCCCCCAGTTCCGAGAGAACTTGCAGAGGCATGAGAAGGAGTTGGAGCGCACCAGCCAACAGATCAAGCGGCTGATAAAAGAAGTTAAGGATGTGGTACAAGCCGCCAAGCGTAAGTACTGCTCACTTATCACTGGCTTCTCATCGGCATGACAAAGCGATGATGTTGTGTTATTTGTGAGTTTAGAATGGCCCACATTACTAAGAACTTGCCGTTCTAACATTTCTTAAACTATATTATATTCCAACTCTACTATATATGTATGTATCAGTATGTCTGCCCTCCATATGTAGTCATCGTAAGTGGCTCAGCTAATGTTTGTACACTGCCAGTAATTGTCTGGTGATAACAGCTAATCAGTCCGGGCTGTACAATGTGTACATAACAACAAAGCCCTTGCAACATTAGTATGTTTATTGTTTACATTATGTTGTGTGGCGCAGCACTAGTGCTGGTAGTGGCTGTGTGCTGTGTGCTCCTGCAGTGATTCATGACCAGAGTGCTGTAAGTGTGTCAATGACTTAGTTAATTAGTGTGACTGTTCACTGTCCTCATGCAATAAACAGCTGCATACGTCTATACATTCATACATATTTATATGTACATCTTATGTTGGATGGATGGCTTTATATTACCCGATGGTTTCATGATTCAGACTAACTTTTCAATATTGTGTTCTAAAGTTATTAATCTGGATGAAGTGCACTGCCCATGCAACATTACGCACATACTCTGCTGATGCACTACATCCCTGACTAGCCAGTACTCTCTCGATGGCAGCTAGTGACATGCAGCCACTCATGTACTCATTTACCACCTGCCACTTAAAAAAATAACACAAGTAGCTTACAAGGGCAGCCTTACGGTTATGGAGTGCTAATTGTGGAATAAGCTTGAAATAAACATACAAATATAATTTATAAATCAGATACTTACAAACATACACACATGTCACATACAAACCACTTAATTGAAGTTTTATTGTTCAAAAAGTAGGTAGTTTGCGACTGCTTTAGTTATGGGTATGCCATATTGTCATGTATATTATGTTATGAATCCCATAAATTAGGAAGGAAGACTATTGTCATTTACAAATTAATAATATTGCACAATAAGAAATTATCCATTAGCATTAAATATCCAATACAACAATACAACATAGTAACATACATGGTAGGCGTCAGGTCAGGACTGACAATAACACTAGTGTGGTAGGTTCACACCTAGCTAAACACAGATAAAACTACTGGAGGTAAGAATTTAATGAAGTCTAGCAAGGCACCTGGACAGGCGTTACTTAATTTCCCATAAGAGTAGTTAGAGGAACACATAAAGATTTTGTACAATTTCTTAGGAAGTATACACATAAGCCATTGTAAGGAAGTATACACATCCCATTCTATTTTTTTAGTGTAGTATACATAATTAATGGTGTGTTGCCTATCTATAAGTAGTGGGTGGCCCTTAAAGTAGGTTTTTATTGAAGCAAATTTTTAGCATAAAAATAATTTCATTTCCTTAGTGGTTGTTAGCCTTGCCACCTCGTTCGGTGACATGTCGCAGGCGAGTAGGAGTGACGGACGCACTGGTGAACTGTTCACGCACGTTGTAAGAGTACTGTGTTGTGTGATAACAGTGTTGATAGCGACGGCGGTGTGCTTGCGGCGCCGTCATCGTCCTCGCTGGCCGCCGCCTCTATCTAAAGAATATCGTTATATCGGACTTATAATATGCTATTATCTGCATTCTTATTAATCTTGTCCTTGAGGAATCGGTCGTAGCACACGCGCGCCTTCTCGGGACGCAACACCCTGCTATCTAGATAGCCACGTACCTACTGTAATTACAAGTGCCTACTATTACGTTTCATTCTTTACTTAATAATTATATTAGCAGTACTTTTCCGGAAATATGTAAGTAGGTATGTATTGTGTACAAAGCCCGAGATATGCCACAAGAGACAGCAGTCGCGCAAACGTAGTTAGTACGAGTGAGTCACGCGTTAGCTGAGACATGGACGCGTGTAGCAGCGAGCTCTCAGCTCAGACATAGCCGTGGCCTTGGCAGTGTTTGCACTGTGTGCAGTGCCGCTCATGACATGTGATCTGTCACTGGGTACATCGGGCCAGGATCTGTGTTTTCTTAGTGTGCAGGTCGTTGTAGACTGCTGTAGTAATTTATTTAAAAATGTTGCACTTTTATAGTAGGTATTACAAAGGGTAGGAATTACAATGGATTAAATCATGAATAGTCACTACAAAAGTATTTCTAAACTCAACATTATAGGGATATTTCGATGTGGGTTAACACAAGTGACGTTTAAAATGCGAGTCGCGCGCAGGTTTGGGAGCGGCGCAGCTGGCGCTGGCCACCAGCATGGAGCAGTTCGAGTTCGCGTGCATCGGCGCCTCCATGACGGAGGACGAGCGCGTCATCAGCCACTCGTTGCACCACTTCGCCACGCTCATCCGCACCATCGAGGACGAGCGGGACCGCATGGTCAGTACTTAGTACAAACTGCATTCATGCATGCTGCAGTAAATGAATACATACTTAAATATACACGTAAAATTGGCGCTAGACCAGTTGGTAATATAATGTAAACGTTATGTGTTGAGATATTGTGTTATACATTTATGCCTAGATAATAATATTATCTTCTTCTTGTAAATTAAATAGGCCTTTTGATGAAGGATGTAGATTGTAGGTACAGGGAATCACTTTCGATGAATTGCCTGTGTAGTAGAGAACTATAGTTGGTAGTCCCGGGCCGGCCGTGGTTTGTTAGTAAACACGCGGCGACCTTCACTCGCCAGCCGCGCGCCGCCTGCCAATGAGGTCGCCCGCGCCGCGCGCCGCCGAAAGTGAAACTGCTCCCAATCACTGATGTCACCGTCCTGTCGGACCTGTATTATTGACTCCTTGTATGCGTTTAGAAATATATTTAAATGTATGTTAATTATAAAGATACCGTTTTCTGGTACAAATAGTAACAGCTCTTTTATTTTCACTGATTTAAAAAGAGCCTAAAGTATACTACGTCCGGAGGCCTTAGCAATGCGAAAGCTTTTTACTTTAATCAGATTAATTAATTGATAAAATGGGACACATAACGGTTTTCTCACTTGAATGGGGTCACGGCGGCCAATGTCAACGAAGAATATATTGCACAAATATAGGTATGTGCTAATATTCAGGTTACACTCTGTTTCCTCCGTCTCGTCGTCCAACAAAACGCTCTCTAGGAACAACCAACTGATACAAATGTGAGCTGCGTAACTTGGGCTCCGTTTCTGAGAGTGTGAGTGTATCTGCAGCGAGTACAACACGTGGCGTTGTGTTGCAGTTGGGGCGCGCGCACGAGCAGATCATCCAGCCGCTCGAGCGCTTCCGCAAGGAGCACATCGGCGCCGTCAAGGTGAGTGTCCTAAACCGCAGGTAACTCTGTGCCATACCGCCGCCTCGCCTGCACTCACCGCGCTGTGTACTTACAGGAGGGCAAGAAGAAGTTTGACAAGAAGACTGCCAAGTTCTGCCAGAGCCAGGAGCGTACTCTCTCGCTTTCTACCAAGAAACCAGAGGCCGTGTTCCAGGAGGTAATACAAGCCGACTATTTCTCTAGTAGAGGAGAAGAACGCTAGAAGTAGACAAATCTTTACCGATATTATTAAAAACCTCTAGTGTAGGAGAGTATAGAGGTAGGTATGACTTGGTATGAGTATAGGTCCAGACCATTATACCCGCCCTACCGCCGCCGCGACCCGCGTCCACCGCGGCAATCGTTACAAAAATAATCCTTATAGCATGATTCAGTATTCAAGCGCGACGGGCGCGATGGCTTATTTGCGTATTTCATGTATAAAACTTTGGTGTTTCTATACCGATTTCTAATATTCTTTTTTTAATGAATAAGTAATAATGTTAACTTTTTTTAATTATGGATGAGTGAGAGTATTATAAACGTAAGAGTAAACAAATATGAGCAAAACGCTCCGAACTACTAAGCTATCGGAAGTTCACGTGTCATTGTGAGTCAACCATAAAAGATAGACTGAACTGACAGAAAGATATGCTGTTTGGGATGTTTTTGAGATAATTTTATGTAGAATATTTCCGTCATACATAATTTCTATGTAGCTTAACCATAAGGTGGCACGCGCTTAAAAAATGGAGGAGTATGATGAATAATTGTACCAAGTTTCGTTAAAATCCATCGACTAGTTTTTGTTTCTATAAGGAACATACAGACAGACAGACATTTAAAATTTTTACTGATGGCATTTTTGGCATTAGTAGACCTCTACAGATTTATTATAAGTATAAATATAAGATGAGAACAAACTCAACCATTAGCCATTAGATGGCACTTTTTTAACAATCATGTTGACAAGTCAACCAGTCAATGTTGACAAATCAACATCCTACATAGCGCAAACAAAGTTTAGATATATTAGAATAAATGAATTATACTCGGAATTTTAATTCGATTCCAGATTTGACAATTTCAGTGTTGCAACGTTATGACAAGTACTAAATAGTGACGTTGCGAAATTATTCGATATGGAAATGCAATATTTCTGGATCGATTCTTCTCGTCCCGAACTGATGAAGTCCCGACGGAAGCTCCACCTGGCATGTCTCCTCTTTGGTGTGATTAAGTATAAGTGTCCAGTATACCTCTACTCGAAGCTCTCGTGGGTGAATGCTCATCGGCAGCGGGAGGGTAGGCGGTGTGCACAACAGCTGGCTATACCGCAACACAAATCGGCTGCTTTTCGGGGTAGTTTCCGATATGCAGCTTCTAAGTGCTGGAACAATATACCTCCGCCAATCAGGAACCTGCAAAGCCCATTCACTTTTAAACGAAAACTCAAGGAGTTTATTATTAATTCTCAAATTGAGAATGAATCTATAAATATTGACATTTCGTTTATTTAATCTAACACTTATCTTTCTTATATATATATTTTATTTTTTTTTCTTTTTTGTTTAACTGGGTACACAAATTATGTTTTCACATTTTCATATTGATTTATTTATATAATTATTTATTAACTTCAGTATTATTGTAATGTAGCATATCTCGAAAACTCACCCTTGGGCCCCTTATTGCCGCAGTGCTGGCGAAATACCGACCTGTCTCTCGCTTCAACTTCGCGCAATGAGTGTCGGGCTGCGCGATGGCTTCACGACATACCCACACTAATTTTATTGTCGTGATACAGTTTATAAATTTATTTTATTTTTATTATTTTTTTTCCTTCGGTGACGGTACACGTTACACTTGTTTATGTATGCATACTCATTTTTATTCATTTATTTATCGCACAATGTACATACTTAGAGGTCTGTTTTTATTCTTCCTTTTATTTTATTATTATCATTATATTTTTTAACATGTGTCTTATGTAACTATTTTATTTTCCTTAAAATTATTCTTCGTTGCTTCCGTCCGTGCGTCACTGCAGGGGTGCCAACTGAAAACCAGTGTTGGGTACTTACTGTGCCCAGCTTAAACTGAGTTGGTGAGCCCTTTTGTCGCGGACATGCTGCCACCCTGCCTTAATTGTTGTTTATTTATTTTTTACTGCTGTTTTTTTATGTTATTATTGTTTTGTTCTTATTGTTTTTTATTTTATTTTATTTATTTTTTTTTGTTTTTCAATGTTATTTTGTTATTATTTTGTGTGTTATTCGGTGGTCCATGTCGGTGGCGAATAAATTATTTTTCTTTCTTTCTTTCTTTATAATTTTACTTTCGTAAACTAAGTATATCAGGAAATTAAATATTTCTGAACCGATAATTTAGTTTTGACGATTAATTAACGATCTGAGGCTTTTCTTTTATAATTGTGTGTGAAATAAATAGAAAAATGTAATCATGAAGGAACATGACAAATAAAACAGATATATGTATTATGGTAATAAGTTATTTTTATAAATTGTCGCCGTCATCGTTATCGCTATCCTGTCACTTTCTGTAACATTTATTATAAAACACACACACTGATTGTTTATCGATTTTTGTGTGCATCACTACACTATTATATGTGGTATCATTATTTCACAAAATGACAGTAGTTATTGTCAAATCTGGAATCTAATTAAAATTCTGACTATAGATTAGAACCTAGTGTGCAACATAGCCTGGTGCAAGATCCCCCGAGCCTCCAAAGCCTACATAGTATAACGCAATAAATGCGGTTGTGTACCCAACTCGCGGAGCCCGAGTGAGCGTGAGCGTGTGCGCAGGCGGACGCGGCCATGGACATGGCGGAGCGCGACTTCTGCCAGGCGTCGCTGGAGTACGTGTTCCAGCTACAGGCCGTGCAGGAGCGCAAGAAGTTCGAGCTTGTGGAGACACTGCTGGGCTTCGTGTTCGGGTGGTGGACCTTCCATCACACGGCGCACGACGTGCACGCCGACGCAGAGCCGCGCGTCAAGGATCTGCAGCTGCGCATTCAGCGGGTGAGTGTGTGCCTGTGTGCGCGCGTGTGTGCGTGCCTGTGTGCGCGCGTGTGTGCGTGCCTGTGTGTGCGCGTGTGTGTGTGTGTGTGTGTGTGCGCCCACTAACCCCCCCCCACCCCGCCGCTTGCAGACGCGTGGCAACTTCGAGGAGATGAGCAAGCAGACAGAGTCGCTGATGAAGAAGATGATGGAGCTGCGGCAAATGGTGAGTGCTGCTGTACATATAGTCCGACTTTTAATTTGATGCAATAAACTGACACAAGCTAGTGTTACTTCCCGAAACAATGAGACCACATGTAACTTAGTAGTGATGGCCTCATTCATTTGAAAGATTAAAATGATTAAATGAACTGTTTTAATTATCGTACACCTGAACAATGTGGGACACTGGACGAGTTCCAAGTTCTTAAAAAGGATGAACGTGTATCCAAAGTGATCCGGAAATGGATAATATAACAGAGAATAACTGTCTAAACTAGCTTCTACCAGCGGCTTCGCCCTCGTTCCCAGTGGTAAAAAGTAGCCTATGTGCAAATCAAGACCGAAATCGGACCGGTAGTTTTTGTGTGCTGCGTGAACATACAGACAGACAGACAGACTAGTAACACCCCGCCACTGTTTATTTTTTTAATCTTACCGTCAGGCGACATGGTGTTCAAACATCGACCCATTAAGTATAAATTAAAAAAATATATTTTCAATGTATCTACGGAATTTATTTACACTTGTACAGTTGTAATACACAGGGTGTCCCTGAAGTCGACGATCAAACGGCATCAGAGGCCTTAGTACGAGTTTGTTTTACGTTTAAAGTAACCGTAACGAGTACGCGTTCGGCGCTGTGATTGGTTGCTTCATTGGTGCCGGCCAATCAGAGTGCCGAACGCGTACTCGTTTCGAATACTTTAAATGTAAATCAAACTCGTACTAAGGGCTCAGGTGATCGGCAAGGGTCCAACAGTCATCAGAAAAATATTTAAAAAATTCCAAATTTGTGTGGAAATTAAGAATAATTTTAAAGAGTGATCTACCATATTAGAATCCTTATTAAATGCGCCAATTTTGGTGAAATTTGAAAATACTAGTAATAGTACATTTTTTTCAGCACAGTCTTAATAGTACAGTACTTGGTTCGTCAAAAAACGATATTATTTTCCAAACTAAAGCAGTTGGTCCTGAATTTATGATTCCATAATACTGAAGCACTATTCAGGATAACGTAAGCAAAGATATATTTATTTATTTATTTATAATTGTAGCAACAAGAGTCAAAAGACTGGCACAGGCTGTACTTTTTCGTGGATAACACATAAGCCATTGTTTGTTTACGTATGTATTGTGATTGGGGTTGGGTGACCCGGTTGCTACTACTTGACGGTAAAGTACATCGCAGTCAACAGTTCACTGCTAATTATTAAAACACGTGAACTGACACTCCATCTAGGCATTTTATAATCTTAAGTTTCTTATTTCCTCCTCTGAAGAAATCAAAGAATTGAATTAATTGAACTATTCATTTAAATTCGTTCAATTTGCCCCGTTGCTATATTTTATGCAGCACTAGCGTGCAACACTGGAAGTGTCAGTTTACTGTATCGCCTTAGAGTGTGAGTAGAGAGTACAGAGTGTACCGTGTGCGTGTGTGTGTGCAGAGCAAGGAGGAGGACGCGGCGCCCGAGGACGCGGCCGGCGGCCTGTCGCGCGCCGGATACTTGTTCCTCATGGAGAAGAGTGAGTCCCTCGCCAACTGACCATTCCTGCGGCTTGACCGCGTGGCATTACTCGTCTCTTTAGTTAATATACTAGAATCACTGACTCTAATGTCTAACTATAGCTTGTACAGTCAGCACAGCTAGTTACAGTGCAGGTAAAATATTAAGATTAATTCAGAGATCGTAACCATTGGTTGACTACTGAACCGAGCAATGGTTACAGAACATGTGGCTTGGTTAAAAACTATGTAATTTAGTACAACAATATATTTTATTTTATTATTTACTAGCTTTTACCCGCGGCCTCGCTCGCGTCACAAGAGGATAAAAAGTAGGCTATGTGACATATACCAATACATACAGCGCCATCTATACCAATACTTTTGTTTTCCCTCGGGAATATCAATTTTTTTCGGGATAAAAAGTACCCTATTATTTAATCCAGACTACTAACTTTACGTCTGCAAAAATTCAATGCAATCGGTTTAGTAGTTACGGCGTGAAGCCGGAACAAACAAACAAACAAACTCACTTTTCGATTTATAATATTAGTAAGGATATTCTTTATGTCCTTACCTGCATAGTAAATAAATGCACTGATTGATAATAATGATCATTATATTGATAACATTTTCTGAGTGTCCATAACTTTTCGACCGGTAAATAGATTTCGATTCGATCGCGGCACAAAGTATAATTTGTCGTGTCGTGTTCAATCGAAACATTGTGACAGTGACGCGCGGCGTTCCACAGAGGCATTCGGCACCACCACCTGGAGCAAGCACTACTGCACCTACGAGCACTCCTCGCGCCAGCTCGCGCTCACGCCCTACAACCAGATCAACGTCAAGACCACCGGCGCCACCGACGAGCTGGCCGTGAGCGGCGCGCGCGCCTGCGCCGAGCCCGTCGAGCGCCGCTTCTGCTGGGAGGCGCTGCCCGCCGCGCGCGACGCGCCGCTGACGCTGCAGGCGCTGGGCGAGCGCGACCGCGCCGCCTGGCTGCGCGCGCTGGCCGCCGCGCCCGCGCCCGCGCCGCGCGCCGCGCCGCCCGCGCCCGACCCCGCGCTGGCGCTGGACGACGCGGGCTTCGCCTTCGTGCGCCGCGTGCTGGCGGCGCTGGAGGCGCGCGGGCTGGAGGAGCAGGGCCTGTACCGCGTGGCGGGCGTGGCGTCCAAGGTGGCGCGCCTGGTGGCGGCGGCGGCGGCGGGGCGGCTGCCGGCGCTGGAGGACCCGCTGGCGTGGGAGTCCAAGACGCTGACGAGCGCGCTCAAGAGCTACCTGCGCGGCCTGCCCGAGCCGCTACTGACGCGCGCGCTGCACGACCAGTTCATCGCCGTCGCCAGTGAGTTCACGTTTTTAAAAACGCAACAATGGGGTACTTCCCTCGCCAAATTCAATACTCATATCTATTTTCTAAAAGGACTGTTTTATATGTTTATACACAATCGACCCCAGGTTTCTCGACGGCTTGTCAAATGAATATAATCAACCAACACATGTCGGCTGTCACCGTCATCATATCAAACGACTTATACTACACTAGCTTTTACCCGCGGCTTCGCTCGCGTCACAAAAAGATAAAAAGAAGCCTATGTGACTATTCATCCCTTCAACTACCTTCAGTTAAAAAATCACGTTAAGTACCTTCGTTTTGCCGTTTAGACAGGCAAACAAACAAATAGCTGTTCGCTCGCGTGGAATTCGGTTATATCGCGCTTTTTAGATTTTTCCGTGGGAATGAGAAGTTCTGCCGCGGTAAAGCCTTGCTTTTCCAGGACTCAAACTACCTTTATACCAAATTTCTTCAAAATCCGTTCAGCCATTTGGCGTGAAAGAACAACAGAAGGAGTTATTTTCGCATTACCACAAATACCATCCTCCCATTTTAATTTAAAAGACTTCTATTTCCTATAAGGGTTTCATTCGCAATGTTAAACCAAAACTGAGTGGTAAACTATTTTTTACGTTTTATTATCGAAAACCTAACTACTTTAGACATCTACTTAGAAATAGACCACTTCACTAATCTAACCTAACTAATATACATACAGCTGTAACTGTACGTCAGTCAACGTAAACAATGAACAAAACAAAGCGACTTAAAATGACGAAAATAAAAATCTACTCTAGATAATAATATATATAACTTAACTAATCAAACCTACAGAGTGAACGAATACAAAACTAAGAATTGTCCTAAATGCGTTACGGAAGCTCGGAACCTATACTTTCGCCGGTAACGAAACCATAGCGCCATCTAACTCGATCCTAACGCCATCTATCGAGCGTTGAAACAACAGCGTACAATATATTTGCTAATTGTTGAGTATTGTTGCCACTATGATTTCGTGTACCTTTAACAACCTAAAATCTATAAAATGGAACCAAAAGTTTAAAGCGAAAAATAATTTTATAGACAATCAGCGCCATCTATCGCCAAGTAGCATAACTACTACATAGACACCAATTTCGTGTACCTTAAACAACCTAAAATCTATAAAATACGCAATTTAATGTAAAATGGTTGGAGCCGAAATTTAAAAGCGAAATATACTTAAAAAACAACGATACCCCGTTTAATAACCACTCAGTGCCATCTATCGCCAAGTAGTATAATTTACATTACATATAAAACAGCAAATAAATGAGTCGAAAAGTGCACCGAATAAGTGTAGATTAACACCAAATAAGCGTTATAGATTAAAGCGTGAATTTTCCAATTAGTAGGTAATTAGTTGAATTGTTTTAAATGGCATACAGCGCCATCTATACGTATACACACAGCACCATCTATACTAATATTTTTGTTTTCCCTCGGGAACATCACATTTTTCCGGGATAAAAAGTACCCTATGATTTAATCTGGACTTCTAAATTTACGTCTGCAAAATTTCAAAGCAATCGGTTTAGTAGTTACTTACGGCGTGAAAGTGGAACATTGTTTGTTCTGCTTTCACACAAACTCACTTTCAGATTTATAACATTAGTAAGGATTTTGTCACAATATAACACATGTTCACGACCACTCCGCGACCAACGAGTTATAATCGGTCTTTGCCTGCCGACAGACAACTGTTTAAGGAATCCACCGCTAAATGAGGTCAATAGTGACTGGCTATTAACTTATTAATATTATTTAAATATTACCTATTTTAAGTGTGGGAGAACCATGCTTCGGCATGAATGGGCCGGCTTGACCGGAGTGATACCATGGCCTCACAGAAAACCGACGTGAAGCAACGCTTGCGTTGTGTTTCGTGTGAGTGAGGTTACCGGAAGCCCAATGACCCCCTCCCCACTCCCCAGTCTCCCCAATCCCCGAATCCTCCACAATCCACAAATTCCCAATTCCCAAAAGGCCGGTAACGCACTTGTAATGCCTTGGCGTTTCAGGTGTCCATGGGCGGCGCCAATTGTTTACCATCAGGTAATCCGTCTGCTCGTTTACCGGGTTATGCCATAAAAAAAACAAAAATAATCAGGACAATGTAAATTCTTGTCAAAAGGTGTTGAATTTGTTGCCTACGTAGACGTCGTTAAATTAATTCAACTGTTGTGCTTACAAGATCCTATCATTACTACTTTCTAAGATTATCTAGACACTATTGACAAACAGTGAAGGAATCAAACATCACGAGGAAACCTGGACTTATTCTATTTGTAAATTTGAAATTACCAACCTGCATTAGGCAAGCGTGGGGATTATTGCTCAAATCTTCTTCCTGCGAGAAGAAACCTTCGGTGAGCAGTACCCACTTACCGCCTGTTTATTTATTTATTTTGAGAATAACGAAATTATCAAACAATACAGTAATCAAATAACCAAATACTCGAACAATTAGGCAAAAACAATCAAGTACTAAAATATTAAATAATAATCCAGTCAATCAACAAGCCCGAGTGTACTGCGCGTCGCGTTCCGCGCGCGCCTCAAAGAGTCATCAGACAGACCATCGCGGATGGGGCCCAATAGGCTGATGCCAATACGGAGCCGCGGAGAACTTAACGGGTTACCGGGGCTCCGGCTCGACGTGCAGGAGTAGGACCGGGGTGGTTTTTAGTCAGTAAGAGTCTGACACTCCCTCCTGCCTCACCCGGGCGGGAGAAGTCATTCGATGAAATAAAAAGTAAATCAACAAATCAACAAACTACTCGGTAAGGTTAGACAAATGTTAAATATTTTTAATATTTATGTATTCTGCCGATTCAGTTTTTCTTACATATATTTATCCTCCCCTCACCTAAACAGATGTGTAGAGTCGCGCGCTGCGGCGTGTAAGGCCTTCTGTGCCGGCGCCAATGTTCAACCACGAAAACTGACTTCTAATCACCGCCAATGTCAGCTGACTCGTGTTTAGTTTATCAGTTGGGTTTTGTTTTTTTTTGTTAAATTGCAACGCTGCAGCCAGAAAGTCGTCTCGTATTCTTTGTGTGATAAATTTTACTATTATTGATCTAGGACGTCGGCTCGAGGTATTCCACATAGCACACCCAAACGAAGCACACTCAGACGAAGCACATCTAAGGTATTCCACCTAGCACACCCGTAGGTGGGCTTCAAATAAAAGTTTAAAATAATTAATTTCACTCACTTCCACGAAGCACACCTACGATTATCACTCGCACAGTGCGGAGACTGAGAAATAATAATATCGATAGAAGAAATAAATATCTAACATCTTTCAGTTTCATTATAATAATGTGACACAATACAATTTTGTAATTTCACTATTTAAAATCACAGATTGTTTTATAAGTACAATAAAAACTTGGGCAAATATGAAAAACAATTGTAAATATAGTTTTCTTTTAACGAATACCACTCTAGTTTTATGTAAAATCACAAATATCTTTAACATTCTTATATAATCTTAAAGAAATGGGCAATTTAGTATTAAACTTATCAATTAATTAAATTATTATTAATCAGAATCTTAATTTCTCTAGACAATATCCAACTGAAATTAGGCCATTTTTATGATCTTTTTCTTGTGCTTTTGATTATATTATTTTTGATGATTTGAATAAACCATTTTGACTCTAATTTCGGCATAATTATTGCAATTTTTTAGGACGCAATCTAAAAGTATTGCCAGATTTATGGCTCTGTTTTTATTGAAAATTTTATTTATTTCAGAGTAATGAGTCTTTTAAATAATAAACATTTTCTTCTATCGAAGTTTTTATTTCTTAGTCTCCGCACTGTGCGAGTAATAATCGTAGGTGTGCTTCCTGGAATAGGAAAATAATTATTTTAAATTTTTTTTTGCACACCCCTGGGTGTGCTAGGTGGAATACCTTAGGTGTGCTTCGTCTGGGTGTGCTTCATGGAATCTCGTGCCTCGTCCTCGAATGCCTCGTCGGGTCGTTGTTAATTTTGGCTATTCTCGTACACTGCTGTATGTCTCTTTCTTCCAAATTGTAGCTACTTACTGCTGCAATCTGCTTGACTACCGGTAAAGATTTTCAGTTTTGAATTCGGGCACGTTTTGTATTTCAAAATTTGTGGCCCGCGAGTATTGTCCAGATCGAGCGAGTCTAGATCGGAGATCAGCTACTGATTGTCTGAGTGAAGTGTTTTCCGGTTCTAATGTATTAATCCTATTACAGTTTAAAGTAACTTCGTCTTTTAAGTAAGCTTGGTTTTACTCAAATATCCTGTTGATGTGATGTATCATTAATCATTACCACAATCCAAGTAACTTCAAATACCGAACGTCAGTACATAGAACGTCATCCGTTTGTTCGACAAAAATATTGGAATTGATCTGTTCTGTAACCCCGTTCAATATTATGCTGTCATACCAAATCACCCTGTACAATGTAATTAAGCTGATTAAAGTTGACCAGCCGTTCAAAAACCGGGTGTATGTATTGTGACTTAGGCCATGCAAAACCGGATAGTCATCAAAACCGGTTTTGAACATCGTTTTTTTGGTACCAAAACCGAAAACCGGAGCTAGGTCCGGTTTTATCAAAATAATCGAATGTTGTTAATTTAAAAAAGAAAACCGTTTTTTTGAATACCCACTAAATCTACAAATAAAACAAATTGTGTGATACATTTCTTTTTCATCCAAACCATAATATTTGTACAGATAACAATGAACTTATAATAGTATAAAAATTATTTAACTGAGATCAAATCAACAACAAGTAAGTTTTTGGTATCTTTGGAACCTATTAAGTCTGCTATCAAAAATAATATATTTTAAACATAGAAAACACAAGTAGCATCTTTAAATATTAAACACAGCCAGCCACAATTACCAAAAAAAAACATTATTTTTGTAACTTTGAAGACTAACTACAAAATAACATTATTATAATATGATTCATATTGCACTAAAAAAGAGATCAATAATCAACTGCGGGGTGCAGGCTCGGAGATGTTCGCAGACCCATCAAGAAATATCCAAATAATTACTGATGACACGGGTCCAACTATTTTAAAATCGGAAATATTACGTGACCAGATACCCATATTACCCATCGAGATTCTCAAGCTATTGGAGGAAGAGCAACTAGACGTACTTGACCGATTCTTCAACAACATTTACGAAACTGGCATTCTTCCACATGACTGGCTAAAGTCTACGTTCATTACAATACTCAAAAAACAAAATGCAACAAAATATGGAGAGTACCGGATGATGAGTCTAATGAGAGATGTCCTAAAAGTGTTCTTAAACATCATACAGAACAGAATAAGAGTAAAGTGTGACGAACAACTGGGAGACAGCCAATTCGGACTTCATTCTGGTGTAGGCACCCGTGAAGCTTTATTCGCCCTCAACGATCTCAGAATCTCCATCTCTTCAAAAATGCAGAGAAATGCAAACGGACGTGGTGATAATATGTTTTATCGACTACGAAAATGCATTTCATTTAGTTAAGCATCAGGCGGGGGTAGTGGAGGGAGGCGTGAAAGTGGGTGGATGCAGGATGTGTTCGGTTCGGATACATTTAATGCCTCAATATTAATTATTTTTGAGAGTGTTCGAAAAAATTATGATTAAAATCAAAATGTTAATTGTTACTTAATAATGGGTAAACCGGAGCTGAGCTCCGGTTTTGGCTCTCAAAACCGGTTTTCAATAATCGTAAAATTTAGGCCGATTTCCGGTTTTGCGCAAAACCGGAAAACCGGTTTTGCATGCCCTAATTGTGACATTGTGAATTAATTAATTATTTCTTAAAAATAGCTAAACAATACAAAACTAAAGCCAAATGTCATTAAATTAAAGTCCTTGTACACGTTGCGATGCGGGCGCGGTCGCGAAAAATTTTAAACATATGAGACGACATCCAAGTATTCACGTACCAGTCGCAGGTGCGGTGGAACTAGCGGGCAACGTAGCGACTGGTAGCGGTAGTGTCAACCGCATATAGACGTATTAATGGTGAGTTCACGTCCAACCCGCGCGGTGCACGGGCGCCGTCAGGTAAGTTCAACCAGTTGGAAGTAGTCGCTCGCGGAAACGCCTACTGGTCAACGTGAACTCGCGACGTCCACCGCGCTCGCACGTTCGACGTGAGCAAGCACAAAGTGATTATTTTATATTATTGCATCTAAGAGTTGATACAATTAATTTTTGAGCAAAGGAAGTACCCAATAATAACGTGTAGACGGCGTGGTTAATGAGAATGTGTATGTGCAGAGAACTCTCGGCGCGCGGAGCGAGCGGCCGGCGTGGGCGCGCTCGTGCGGGCCCTGCCGCCGCGCAACCGGGACATGCTGCGCCTCGTGCTGCGCCATCTGCGCAAGTACGTCTCTACACTGTCCCACACTCCCCCTGGACATTCAGTACTAGTGCCACACATTCCCATACCCGCTCAATGTACATTTAGTACTAGTGCCACACTGTCCCACACTCGCTCCCTGTACATTTACTACTAGTGCCACTGTCCCACACTCGCTCCCTGTACATTCAGTACTAGTGCCACACTGTCCCACACTCGCTCCCTGTACATTCAGTACTAGTGCCACACTGTCCCACACTCGCTCCCTGTTCATTCAGTACTAGTGCCACACTGTCCCACACTCGCTCCCTGTACATTCAGTACTAGTGCCACACTGTCCCACACTCGCTCCCTGTTCATTCAGTACTAGTGCCACACTGTCCCACACTCGCTCCCTGTACATTCAGTACTAGTGCCACACTGTCCCACACTCGCTCCCTGTGCATTCAGTACTAGTGCCACACTGTCCCACACTCGCTCCCTGTGCATTCAGTACTAGTGCCACACTGTCCCACACTCGCTCCCTGTACATTCAGTACTAGTGCCACACTGTCCCACACTCGCTGCCTGTTCATTCAGTACTAGTGCCACACTGTCCCACACTCGCTCCCTGTTCATTCAGTACTAGTGCCACACTGTCCCACACTCGCTCCCTGTGCATTCAGTACTAGTGCTACACTGTCCCACACTCGCTCCCTGTGCATTCAGTACTAGTGCCACGATGACCCACACTCGCTGCCTGTGCATTCAGTACTAGTGCCACACTGTCCCACACTCGCTCCCTGTGCATTCAGTACTAGTGCCACACTGTCCCACACTCGCTCCCTGTGCATTCAGTACTAGTGCTACACTGTCCCACACTCGCTCCCTGTGCATTCAGTACTAGTGCCACGATGACCCACACTCGCTGCCTGTGCATTCAGTACTAGTGCCACACTGTCCCACACTCGCTCCCTGTGCATTCAGTACTAGTGCCACACTGTCCCACACTCGCTGCCTGTGCATTCAGTACTAGTGCCACACTGTCCCACACTCGCTCCCTGTGCATTCAGTACTAGTGCCACACTGTCCCACACTCGCTCCCTGTGCATTCAGTACTAGTGCCACGATGACCCACACTCGCTGCCTGTACATTCAGTACTAGTGCCACACTGTCCCACACTCGCTCCCTGTGCATTCAGTACTAGTGCCACACTGTCCCACACTCGCTGCCTGTGCATTCAGTACTAGTGCCACACTGTCCCACACTCGCTCCCTGTGCATTCAGTACTAGTGCCACACTGTCCCACACTCGCTGCCTGTACATTCAGTACTAGTGCCACACTGTCCCACACTCGCTCCCTGTGCATTCAGTACTAGTGCCACACTGTCCCACACTCGCTGCCTGTGCATTCAGTACTAGTGCCACACTGTCCGACACTCGCTCCCTCCCTGCAGCGTGGCGGCGCGCAGCGACAAGAACCTGATGTCGTGCTCCAACCTGGCGGTGTGCTTCGGCCCGACCCTGCTGCGACCGGAGCGAGAGACCGTGGCCTCCATCCTGGACCTGAAGTTCTACAACGTACTGGTGGAGACTCTGCTGGACCACTACGAGCAGATCTTCGAGGACGCGCCGCCGCCGCCCGACCACAACGGGGCCCTCAGGTACTGTTTACTAGTAGTGTACTAGTGTGGTGTCCTTACTTGTACGCCGCGAGGAACTTCAAGACGCCCGCTCCTCGTGCATGTGGGTTGGGTCGGGTATTTCCGAGGTATAATGTATAGTCAGCCAAGGTATTTAACTTAATTTTAATTTATATAACTTTTTTATAGATTTTTTACACAGACCTGAGACAGTAGCTGTTGTTATGATAAATTGTATGCTTTTTATCGAAGCCATATATTTTGTTTAGGTACTGTCTCTGTACTGAATCAAAGTCAAAGTCAAAGTCAAAATCATTTATTTCAATTAGACCAGTAAGGCACTTTTGAACGTCAAAACAAAATATTTCAATATTAAATAATAAGAAAAAATGTCAGTCTGTAGGTCAGTCCTCTAGTGAAGCTATTTGCTCGTTCCAAAGTGTAGATTCCTATGGAGAAGAACGAGCAAGAAACTCCATAGGTTACTCTTTTTCAATCATGTTCACAATACAATTTTTGGTTACATTCTTCCGTTGAGTTCAATAATGTGAGAACAATGTAATACCAATATTTGGTCAAGGAGACGGAAAAAGAAAATAACCTTGAGGACAACAAATTTAATACAGTCTGGAGCTGACCAGTCCCATTTGACAGCGCCCGTTCACGAACATGACACGTACACCAGCACCGCCCAACTCGACCATGTTATAGGGAATCGAGCGATCCACTGCCCGTGCCACTGCCAATGAGACTTTTGAGTGAGCATGACAACTCCAAGCTGACACACATGCATTCTACTAGTCTAATTTAATTTAGTTAGTTACAGGGTTCTCACATTTACAATACTTATATAAAGTTTTACAGTGTACATTTGAACAAAATGGCTGTATTTGACATGATTGGAACTCATTGGAACATCAATGTTTTTCGCTATCCTGTGGAGCCGGACCAGCATGCCTCCAAGCATTTTTATCATCTATGTAATCATTAAGTTTGTAGTATGCTTTCCCACATAACGTTTTTTTAACATATAATTTAAATTTTGACTCATTTAAATGTAGTATTTCCTCCGGAATTTTATTATAGCATTTAACACAGAATCCCATAAAGGACTTATGTACTTTTGTCAATCTAAATAGTGGCTGACTTAGTCTATCCCTATGTCTAGTTTGATAGTGGTGTCTGTCAGACACTTTACCAAACAACTGTAGGTTCTTCCTAACATACATAATGTTTTCATAAATAAATTGACATGGAACCGTCATAATATTGATCTCCTCAAACTTTTCTCTGAGAGATTCGCGACGACCTAGGTTGTAGATAGCTCTGACGGCGCGCTTTTGTAAGATAAAGATAGACTCAGTGTCCGCAGCGTGTCCCCACAGCAAAATGCCATACGACATGATGCTATGGAAGTAACTGAAGTACACTAGTCTTGCCGTGTCTATGTCGGTTAACTGTCGGATCTTCCAGACAGCATAAGCTGCAGAGCTTAATCGTCCCGCTAGAGATGTAATATGAGGACCCCATTGCAATTTGTCATCTACAGTAATTCCCAGAAATGTAGTCTCTTTTACAAATTCTAATTTCCGACTGTTTAATAATATGTCACATTCCTTACTTCCAACATTTGGCAGAACAAATCTGATACATTTCGTTTTCTTATCGTTTAGCACTAAGTTATTTATTGTAAACCAATGTTGAACCTTCATCAGAGCATTATTTACGTCGTCATAATTATTTGTTCGTCTATTTATTTTAAAAACCAATGATGTGTCATCAGCAAACAATACAATATGTGGTTCATTTTGAAATAAATATGGCAAATCATTTATATATGTTAAAAATAGGAATGGACCTAGTATTGAGCCCTGCGGTACGCCCATAGACATGCTAGCACCCTGTGAGTTTACTTTGTTTACCTGTACTTTAAGTTGCCTATCCTGAAGGTATGACTTTAACAGATTCAGCGATACACCCCAAATGCCGTAGTGTTCCAGCTTCAGCAATAGTGTCTCGTGTTCAACACAGTCGAATGCCTTCGAAAGATCGCAAAATATTCCGATGGCATCCTGTGCCTCTTCCCACGAGGCAAAAACCCGCTTAATTAGTGCTACCCCGGCATCAGTCGTGCAACGTCCCTTGGTGAACCCGTATTGTTGGTCATGAAATATAGTATTCATGTTAAAATGACGCAGCATCTGAGTAAGCATTAATCTTTCAAACACTTTACTGAGCACTGGCAAGATAGAGACCGGCCTGTAGTTATTAGGTTCCGCACTATCACCGGATTTAAACAATGGCACTACTTTACTATGTTTCATTAAATCTGGAAAAATTCCTTGATCTACACTTTTATTAAAAATTAATGCCAAATGAGGCGCTATAGTCTCTATAAAAGACCTACACATCCTTACTGACATTCCCCAAAGATCTTCAGTCGACTTAACTTTAATATCTTTAAACGCTTTTATTACTGCTAGGGGGTTTGTATATTGAAATCGAAAATTTGTTGAACATTCCTCGACATTACTTTTAAGAAGATCGATAGATAGTGCTGGTGATGATTTCAACGCTTCCGTAGTTTTAAGCGGAATATTTTTAAAGAAATCCTCGAATTCCTGGGCAACTTTCGAATCTGCACTAATACGTCCATTTACAGTATTTAAATTAAATTCAGTGTTAGGAGATCTATTTCTACCTGTCTCGGTGTTAATTATGTTCCAGGTGGTTTTTATTTTGTTATTCGCGGTCCTAATTTTACTGCTAATGTACAGGGATTTAGCCTGCTTACAAACCCTTTTAAATATTTTCGAGTATATACATGTATATACATGACTGCGAAAATCATCACTATTATTAAATTGTTTCATACCATATAACTCAAATAACTTTTCCCTACTTATACGAATACCCGGTGTAGCCCAGTCACAGAATAGAAATTTACATTGAATGTTTTTACGTTTTAAAGGGAACATTTTATCGAATTGTGTTTTAACAATGGACAATAATTTGGCATAAATCTCACTAGAGTATTCACTAGCATGTATTTGGCCGCATAATTCATTTTTCAAGTTGTGGTTTAATGACTCAATTTTTTTATTTGTAATTTGCTTAAATAGAATTTTCCTTTTTTGTACAGTTGTGGTAGTGTTAAAACTGACTGTCAGGCCACTGTGATCAGATGGTAATCTGTTTACAATGTCTTTATTTATATAATTACAGTTACAAAAAATATTATCTATACATGTTGCCGAGGTGGATGTTATTCGGGTGGGCTCAAAGAAAACATTAGACAAGTCGAAAGATTTAAATAGACTTAACAAATTAATACTATTCGAGTTGTTCTCCAAGAGATCGACATTAAAATCGCCACATACTATGGTTAACTTACTATTGGAACACGTTTTCCGCAGTACATCCTCCAACACTGAGCTAAAAATATTTAGGTTTTGTAAAATAGGAGGTCTATAAACACATACTACAATATGCCTATCCAGCTCAACACAGGACAACTCTATTGTGTGCTCTATCGATAGTGATGCAATGTCATGCCTTTCCTTATATTTCATTGAATTCTTTACCAAAATCAGACTGCCACCATGTATCATGGTTTGACGGCTATAATAATTACCAACACAATAGTTTTCAAGATTAATAGATTTTACTTGATAGCCCTTCAGCCAATGTTCAGTTACACAAACAAGATCATATTTAAATTTTCCTAAAAATAATTCAATTTCTAGAACTTTAGATGAGAAGCCCTGCATATTTTGACTAAACAATGTTAACACAGAGTCTTGTCTATTCTTATGTATAGCTAATAAAGCTGCAGACTTAAATATACCGCCAGAAGATAACTTATCAATGCATGAAACTTTTGTGTAATTTACTTGGTTATCTTCTGTTGTCTCAGACATTAGTTTAAAAAGTTAGCCGGAGTACTACCCACATTTATAGTCAAATTATGAGTCTCCTTTGTAAAATCATTTATACAATTAATCTCTATATTATTAGATTGTCTAGATAATATAGATTTGTCACTTAAACTACTTAAAACTAAATTAATACTATTTGCTAGCAAACTAGCAAGTAAAACTTTAACTCAAGTTGGATATACAAACTTGTTAGTTACACCCCCACATTAGTTATGGACCCTGATGCCCTGGACACAGTACGAGGAGAGTAATCGTATGCAGAGACGATAGTCGCGGAGAACCTAACGGGTTACCGGGGCTCCGGCTCGACGTGCAGGAGAAGGAACGGGGTGGTTTTTAGTCAGTAAGAGTCTGACACTTCCTCACGCCTCACCTAGGAGGGAGCAGTCATTCGATGATTTTTCCCCCTTAAAAAAATGCAGAGACGATGTAGAACATCCAGAAATGTCGACGTAGTAGTTGATCGAAATAATGAATAATGAGGTGCGATGACGAACAACATCACGCGAGTCGAGCCCTTGGGCAAAGGAACTACCAGAGTTGACAAATTCAGGTAGAAGCAGTTTTAATACGAGAATATAAAAGATACGAGCTGTCGAAATCAGACGTATTGAATATTGAAACGGTTAAGCATGCCCAAAATGGCAGAATCAGGAAATGTCCACTAACATTTTAATACCTTTTTCGATGCTGTTGATAAGATAGGAGATATGGGTATACAAATCAATGATGACTAACGGCCGTTCCCAATATTCTATCTATCTCTTGTTTTGCCCTACTAGAGATAGAAAAATCTATCTATCTTTAAATTTGCCGTCTCAATAAACTTACTGGCGATAGGCAAACTAATCTATGGTTGTCATTACCTGAGGGAGGACGGATAGGTTATCTACAGATTGCTTTTACTATGAAATTGACAGTTCACGCGTCCCAATAATAACAAAGGTGCTATCTGTCAGTAGCTTTGGTTATCCCTAGTAGGCTATAGCTCTATCGCAGGATTTTGATGGATAGGAGTATAGTTATCAGTGAAGATCAGTAACATATCTTTTCTATTTCTTAAAAATACATATAGGAGTATAG